CCATGATCCTGTCTGCTCAGACAGAAGACAAACAAAAGGAATTAACAAGGTATCTCAAATAATGGTGTGACTGCTAGACATATCTCATGTCCTTTAAAACTGAATCTCAGGAAGGGTCTCTAGGTATTGAATGCTGTGACCTCTCTGCCCAAATTTTAGCATGAGAATCCGTTTTCTAAACAAAGGCAATGAATAAACTTGCTAGGAACTAATGAAGACTTAAGTAGGGAAGACAAAAAAACCCACAACAAACCACCCAAAACCGAAACTCTACAAGTCCTATAGTGAATAAGTAAAAATATAAGAACGGATGTAAATATACCTGTTGTTCCTTGATTGTCTCCTCTCAGTGCTTCAAGTACATCTTCTAATGGGGTACACACTCCAAGGTTGGACAAAGAATAATACTTAGCAGCCAGGGCAAACAAATGTACATTAATAAGCTTCTCCGAGTTTTCACAGAACACATTGGAAAATGTGTCATCATCTGTACAGAAAAGGAAAGACGTCTGTAAACATTGCTTAACATCTTTTGTAACAGTGCTGACAAAAAATTATAAACAATAAATACTTAGTATCAGCTAGAAGCAACCATTTATTTTGCTTCCATAAGTGGGAAAACTCACTATTTTTCTTCAGCTGTATTTCCCCTTCAGAACCAAGGTTAAATTTTGCTCTTAGCTGAACCACTGTAAATGTGGAAAAATCTATTGCTTTAACAGAGCAACTATAGTATAATCAACTAGAGAATTCAGTCAACATTATCACTTCTCTTTTGTTTACAAACTTGCTCATAATATGTTTCCTACTCAGTCCCAACTGACAATATATGCTACTAGATTGCTTAAGAAATGCAGCTGTTCAATATGTTAAATATTTTGATTTATAAGCACTACATTCACACACTTTCCAAGCTGCTTTGTAACTGGTGAATCTGCTGGGAGAATTAAATAAATTGATTTTTATTACCAATCGGGTGTGAGCTAAAGTTAGATTCCAGTGCATATCTTATTTAACTCAGGATTAAATGCTTTAGTATAGTATTACTTAGTTCTTACTGTCAGAAATATACATTTATTTCTAAGTGAAACATATTGGTATGAATCATTTATTAATTCTAACTTTGTTTTCTATTATCTAATTCCTCTCTACTGTGGTTAAAACTATTTGTGAATTCTACATATTTTGCTAGTAATTTTGGAATATTTCTTATTCTTTTCAAATATATAAAAATTAACCAGTCCAGCAAACAGTTACAAAGATTTAGAAAATGTCTCCTGGTTTGCCTTTTGTCTCATGAGATGTTGAGCAAGTACATACCTAGCATAAGGTAGCTTTCCCAAATCTAGCCTACCCACCAGCATGACAACAGATACAGCTGTTTTGATTGACCTCACCTCTAATGCTCTTAATTTTCTTGCATAACCACAATTAAAGGTCATGCATATTTATTTTCGATTTTCTGTGAATGAACAGCAATCCAGAAAATTTATAGACTCACTGTGGAAATAACCATCATAGGAATTACATATATAAGCTTGCAACAGTATAAAAAAAAACTATGGTCAACCACACACATACCCATCTTACACCACATGACCCTGATACTGATATGGAAAACCATTAAACCTATACTCTTGAAGAAATTTATCCTTATTTTTCCTATCTAACTTTCAAATAGCTCACCAACATCAACAGCATAAACAAATATTCTGCAGATTCAAAACTCACAAGATTTAGCAACCCAATCTTGCTTTCACCTTACTGCCTGCTGTTCCTACTATATCACAAAAAATCAACTTATCTTGAAACTTCATAACTTCCCCAGGTTAAAGACTGATTATTGAAATTTGGACTTTTCTGCTTCTTTGTCAGAACTCATGAAAAACTTATAAACCCACTGTTTGTCTGCTTTCACCTTTTCAGCACCTGCCAGGTTGGATGGGGCATGGAGCAACCTGCTCTACTGGAAGCTGTCCCTGACTATGGCAGGGGCGTTGGAACTAGATGAGCTTTAAGGTCCATTCCAACCCAAACCAGTCGATGATTCTATGACACTATGACATAAAATATATCAACTCTCCTTACAACCCTCACTTAATTGAAATTAAATGTAGTAATACTCATGTTCTGTAGCTTCCATGAATTCAGTTATCTGATGGAAGAACATGAACAGAACTAGTAGGATATCGTCTGTAATACCACTCCTACCAAATATAAATTGTAGTCCCAGCTTGACAACTAAAAGAAAGTAAAAAAACCAACTACATTAAGGTATCTGAAGCATGACTTCAAGCAGTTTGTGGACTATGTGATACTTACGAATATTAAAAATGTTAGCTTTCTCAAAATGTTTCTACTTTGGCCGCTCATAAGATGAAATCTAGCATGTCTTTTAACCAATCAGTCAGTCCATCTGCAGTTAAGTCTTCAGAAGAAAGAAACATGTGCCAAAAAAATTGGAATTACAAACAGTAATTTACAGGAAAATACGAAAATACTTAAACCACAGACTTTTCTGTGCCTGTGTCCAATTTACATCAATGACATGATAAACAAGATGCAATATGGCAAATGTCAGCTTTTTGATGTATAAAAATATGAAACAGTTTTCTATCTCTAAAAATGGATCTGAAATTTTTCTGTGGGGTCCAACTGAAAACAAGGGTTCCACCCTTTATATGGTCATTATAACGAAACACCATCTGATGAGTATCCGAAAATACTCTTTAAAACTGATTTACAGAACATGTAATGTTCCATAGCATGATTATCTTCTTGCATGTAACACTGTACAATAGAATTGTAATTTCTTGCTCGCTAGCTTCTGAAACTACAATTCAGCATATAAATTTGTCAAAATCCCTATAGTAACATAAAATATTGTGCAGAGTAACAGTTTTGTGCCAATCTGCAATAATGTTACTTTTTAGTTTGCAGAGCTATGTGAGTACGAACTGACAACTTCACATTTTCACATCAATTCTGTCAAATGTAGCTTATGTTACCCTATAATTTAATTTGGGATCTGTAATAGAACAGATTCTAGAAAACTTGTCGTAAGAGTTTGGGGATTGCAAATGTATGAATGTGAAACTTCTCAAACTCTGAGTGAAGTGTTTACCATGTGAAATCAGAATGTCATTTAACACGTATTTTGAGTAAGGTATTTGGGGTACATGACCACAGTGTCATTTGGTCATGCAAAATAAATCTATGCTCATAGCCACATTCCAAATAAATGTAGTTCTATGAATGATAGCATGTTACAATAGCCTTTTAGTACCCACTTCAAGGCAAACATAAATAACAAACATTAATGTATCTAATAATTTTGAAGAACAACCACATATACAGTTCATATTTTAGAGGAATATAAGGAAGAGTCACTCAGTTTATGTTGGGTTTTAAGATCTCTAATGCTTGGTTTCTGATCTCTAATGTTAGTAAGTTGTTCTGAGGCACTCAGTACAATATAATGATAGTAAATTTCTCAATCCTAATTTTAATACAGGCTAACAAAGCATTCATTTTCAAATATAGGTAGATGTTCGTGGGCATCTTCACTGAAAAACTCGTATTATGATGTACTTTCATCATATGATTGGGTGGACAGATACAATGCTGTCAAACAACTCAGGCATGAATTCTGAAAACAGCAAGCATGTGACCATTCATTTACAGTACCTCCAATTTTGTCACAATATGGAGGGAATTTTGAGATTGTCTCAAAACCTTTTGAATGTTAAATAACACACAATAATTTTGAGGCTAGGAAAAAAGAGCAATTCTCTCTTTTTTTTTTTTTTTTTTATTTTTCCCTATAAGTAGAAATAATCCCTGCAGAAATCAACAAAGAAATGTTACATTTTGGCCACAACATGAAGGCTTCATACCCTTCTAAAACACACACTTAATTTTAAAGATACATAAATTGTGTCTTTTGTTGCACTAATTTCTGTATCAGATTCTGCAACACGCATTTTGAATACAGATCATTAAATGATTCGACAATTCTAAAAATCTGCAGAACAATGCTTTGCCTTCCTGACTGTCTTCCTACTCTACCAGCCACCACTTCAGTGTCTGAATAATTTAATGGGTTTTCTCATAGAAACAGGTAAAATCAGGGCAATTTTCCTTTAGCATTTTATTTTTTAAGGACTTCATCTAGTAATTAGTTTTGCACTAGCCTCTATTTACATTTAATTTTATGTCCTGTTGCTCTGAGTCAGTTCTGGCTCTGACATTACCTGTCAAAAACATTAGAAGCTTTTCCTCAGTGCTTCCCAACACTTTTGCTTGCTGACTGGAACACTGTCTTGTTTCCATCTGGCTCTCAAAGTTAATTCATAATCCAGTGTCCTTTTCATGCACAAATAAACTGTGTTTTGGGTTTTTTTCTCCTTTTTTTTTTTCCCCAGATAGCTCTACCCTTTAAAAATGACTCTTACATTTAATATTTTGAAGGTCTTTAGATCCAAGAGAGAAATGTTACAAATGATGTAGCAATTCACAGTTCCTCAATCTCTTTCCAAATCCAAATCATTATCTTAGATTGTCTTCTTTGCCAAAAAGTGCACAGCTCCACATGTTGCTTTCTGTAGACCCTTCTCTTGCACTCAACATGCTTTCCTGTCCCACATGTCATTTAACACAGTATTTCAGAGCGAATGTTATATGAGAGCTATCTCTGCTCTATAAGCTTTGGCATGATACAGGTTTTTCTCGGCTAAGTGTTTTGTCAGAGATTTTACTACCTTAGTTCTGAAACAGATCTCTTTGCCTGGGCTCAGTCCCCACAAATACCATACCTTTCAGATGCTTTATCTTCATTTCTGTGCCCTGCCTGAACACGTATTAGTGGTACGTTTTCCTTCTGCTTGAACTGCAGTAAATTCAGTCACACAGTTTCATAGCTGGTTTCCTCTGGATTTACTTGAAAATTACTAAAAATATGAAGTGCTTCTTAAATATGTCTTGTCAGAAATGAAACTGCTTTCTCTCTTCCTCTGCCAGACACTCATTATTACAGATACATAGGGAAGCAGTGTTCAAGCCTTTTCCAGCTGTCTTCCACATTTCCAGAGCTCCAACAGTTGACGAACTTTCAACCATTACATCTTTGCACTCATGTGGAGGGTTTTTTGGGGGGATTCATTTTATTTCTGTTCTTCAGAAATAAGTCAGAGCAAAGGAGCCTGACAGGAGTTTCACTTGCGATTGAACACTATGAAACTTACAGACCATCAATCAGCACAACTGCCATGACCGAGAGTCTCCTAAAGAGCAGTTCCTCCCAATATGGCTGTACCTGATCCGAGCCGTGACAGTTCCAAATACACCCCGTTACCCTGTAAAAGGGTAGGGCAACTTCAGTGCTGGTGAGAGCACTGGCAACAAAGGGCAGAAGCAGCTTTGGCAGATGGCAGAGTAACGGGTCAACATGGGTGTGGGCGCAGGAAGCCAGAAAGTGAAAGCGCAGGAAAAATCAGAGCAGCTCGGCAGAGCGGTGTTTATTCAAGCGAGGAAAATAGGTTTTAACAAACACAGTAGGTCTGAACGCGATGTCACGGGCGGGGCACGCGGCATGTCACCGAGCGGGGCCACCACCGAGCGCCCCACAGGCGGTCGCAGCAGCCC